TATTTGTGAAGTCATGTGATGTATGTTCATAGCTCTTTAAACCTCTGGCTTGGATTTCCCTTGGTAAAGATGAATTCTCCTTCCTGTTTGGGAATTTCAGCTTCCAGTGCTCTAGCCTTCCTCCCCACTCCCCCTCATCATTGATGTTTCTATCTCTCTCCCTCTCCCATTTGCAAAAAAATCAATAAAAATATTTTTAAAAATGTAAACTATACATAAATTTTACCATCTTAACCATTTTTAAGGGTATGATTCAGTGGCTTTAAGTACATTTACATTATTGTGCAGCCATCACCACTGTCCACTTCCAGAATTTTTTTTTTAAATTTCAGAGAGGAAGGGAGAGAGAGAGAAACATCAATGATGAGAGAGAATCATTGATCAGCTGCCCCACACTGGGGATTGAGCCCAACACCCAGGTATATGCCCTGACTGGGAATGGAACCATGACCTCCTGGTTCCTAGGTCAACGCTCAACCACTGAGCCACACTGGTTGGGCTCCAGAAATTTTTTCATCCCAAAATCCCCGTCCCCCCAGCCCCTGGTATCAGACTTTCTGTCTGTAAAGTTGCCTGTATTAGGTACCTCATACAAATGGAATCCACACACACACACACACACACACACACACACACACCCCTTTCGTGTCTCACTTATCACACCAAGCATGTTTCCGGCTCGTCCACATTGCAGCATGTGTCGGCCACCTCCCTCTAGGGCAGAGTAAGATGGCATTGTGGGCACAGACAGCCTGTCTACCTCTCATCTGAGGGTGGGCACTTGAGTTGCTTCTGCCTTTTCGGCTGTGGTGACTAATGCCACTGTGGACACGGTGTGCAAGTATCTGTTCGGTCTCTGCCCTCAGTTCTTTTGGGTCTCTACTAGAATTAGAACGGCTGGGTCTTAGGGTTGTTCTCTGTGTAGAGTTTGAGGAGCCGCCAAACGGTTTTTCCTCAGCGGCTGCACCATTTTATGTTCCCGCCAGCGTGTAGGAGGGTTCCGACTCCCCTCCATCCTTGCCAAAATGTGCTGTTTTCCATTTAAAACAATTACAGCCATCCCCCTGGGTGTGGAACTGTATCTCGTTGTGGTTTTATTTGCGTTTCCCTAGTGACCGGTGAGAGATGTTGAGGGTCTTTCCATGCGCTCCCGGGCTGTTGGCGCCGCTTCGGAGAAATGCCTGCTCAGGGCGTTTGCCCGTTTTTTGACTCGAGTCGCTTTTTTCTTGTGGAGCTCTGGATAGCAATCCCTTACTTGCTCTGCGGTATTTCCTCCCATTCTGCGGGTTGTCTCCTTCTCTCTAAACAGTAGTTTTTGATGCACAAAAGTGTCTAATTGTGTGAAATCGAATTGAACTACTTTTTTCTTTCGGTGTCTGTGCTCTGGTGTTGTGTTCGGGAAGTCTTTGCCGAGTCCAGTGTCGTGACGCTTCCTCCCTGTTTTCTTCGTAGCGATTCACATCCCAGGTCTTCCATTAGGCTTTGATCCATCCGTTTGGAGTTAACTGTTGTGCCTGGTGTGAGAGAAGAGTCCGGTTTTATTGGTTTGTGTGTGGGTTTCCAGTGTTCCCGGCACAGCCGTCTGAAGAGACAAAGGCGGCCTTTAATCCGAGGGGAGAGGAAGAATATCTGGCCAAGGGACCGGCCTCCACACCCTGGGCTTCCCCCCTTCCCCACCTTGTCTTTTGCAGGTTCACAAATTTTTAAACAGAAATCGGGATCACCTTGACCCTGCCACCGTAGAAATGCTTGCCCAGAGCCAGCTCCAGGTGCCCCTGCCAGTCTCCGGCCCTGCCCCTCCTCACTCTGTCCCCTCATTCTGCCCTTCTTGCCCGGACACTCCTGCTCAAGGGGCTTGCTCCCAAGGCCCTGGCACCTGGGGCCATGGCCTGAGCCGGCCAGGGTCTGGGTGCGGTGGGCTGGTCCACCCTGGCGCCCCCGGGTGGGGGCAGGCTGGGCGATGGACAAGCCTCTTCTCTCCCCACAGCTGGTGGGCAGCCTGTTCCAGGAGGCAGAGCCCCAGGGCGGGGGAGGGCCAGGCAAGCCCACCTTGGCCTCTGGATTCCAGCAGTCCCTGGGGGACCTCCTAGCCAGGCTGGGCAGGTGAGAGCAGTGCCCCCAAAGCAGTGGCAGGGAGTTGGATGGGAGCCTGATCTGTACCTCGGTGACCCCCCTCCACCCATCAGGAGCCGTATCTACTTCGTCCAGTGCCTCAACCCCAACCCTGGGAAGGTGAGCTCCCTGGGCACCTGGCCCAGAGCCCTCCCCCCTGCCCTGCCCTCCTCCCCTCTCCCCCTCCATGTGCCCTGCCCTGCATTTCCCGAAGCTGAAGCCCCTGACTCCACCTCTTACTGGCTCTGTCCCACGGCCACAGCTTCCCAGCCTCTTTGATGTGGGACACGTGGCCGAGCAGCTGCGCCAGGCAGGCGTCCTGGAGGCCGTTTGTGTCCGCGGTGCCCACTTCCCTGTGCGCCTGCCCTTCCAGACCTTCCTGGCCAGGTAGGGCTCCAGGATGGCGGCAGCCAGGGGCCCATGCACTTCAGGGACAGGACACACGAGAAAGGCCCCCCAGAGTGACTGGTCCTCCTGTGTGGGGAGCCCGAACTCAGGCCCTGGTCCCAGAACTCAGTCCCTGATCGGGCACC